TTGATGTCATTTTAGTTGCATTTGGGTAGTTACAACGTCCTTGTAGGATTTGATTCTGAATACAATTCCAAATGTACACTATAGTCCCTAAACCCCTTTACAGCATTGGGGGTTGAATAATTTTGGACACAACTGTATGTATTTTCCACTTATAGGCAGAGAAATAGCACATTACCTGAACTTGTGTACTGTTCAGGTGCATGCCTGTTCACTAAGTGCAGCCATATCACCCATTGGGGGAGGGACAGAAAGGAGTGGATTGCTAAAGTTGTAACTGCCTCTTGTAAACATTTATACAGCAAAGGGACTGTTACCGAGACTCTACATGACAAATGACGTGTCCCTGCTGGAAAAGCAAAAGGAGGGAGGAAAGCAATAACAGCTGATTCATGATTATGGTAATATTTGGTAACTATTTAGTCTATCCTATCCAATACTTCTCCTTAATGAGAATAACAGAACAGGGAAGGAGCTGGAAGATGTACTTTACAGTGCATGTGTGGGGAGCTTGAAAGTCTTGGCTTGTCAAAATTAGGGGGCAAATGGCAGTCCAGAAATTTGGTAATTAAAGGAAAGGGTGATTTTACCCCCACCCAAATGCCCCTCTTCTTATTATCTTCTACTTCCTCCAATCTCAGTGCTCTATCATCCTGTACATTTACAGAGATACTTTTATAACTTTATAGTGTCACTTTTTTTGTTTGCATTATTTTCTGCTACTTGGAATGAAAAGGTGATTAAAGTAGAAGTAAAAATGGAAGACGAAAAAGAGGCAGATGGGTATGATGACCTGTATAAAGAGGATGAAATCCCTCCAGAGATCAGCACTGGTGAGTAATAAACACTAAATCCAGAAGAGAGTCCCAGATCCTCCTTGTTTAACCAATTCAAGTCCGGACATTTTCACCCCCTTCCTGTCCAGGCCAATTTTCAGCTTTTAGCGCTTTCACACTTTGAATGACAATTGCGCGGTTATGCAACACTGTACTCATACATTTTTTAGCATTTTTTTGAGACAGATAAAGCTTTATTTTGGTGGTATTTATTCACCACTGGGATTTTTATTTTTTTTGTTATATAAATGAAAGTCCAAACATTTTGAAAAAAAAAAGTGTTTTTTCTTATAAAATTTTGCAAATAAATAATCTTTCTTCATAAATCTTGGCCAAAATTTATTCAGTCATATTTTTACTGAAAAAAAATAACCAAAATTAGTTTATAACCAAAAATTATACTTTTAAAAAAAAAGTTTACATTTGTATTTTATTTTTTTTATATCATTATTTGTGGGGGTTTTTTTATTTTTTTTTTTAACATAGTCACCCTAGCAGTACAGTGTCACCATGGTGACACTGTACTACTTTGTGGGGGGGTGATGAAGATTTTTTTTTTTTTTTACACTGATTGCTTTTACACCCATAAAGGCTATAAAAGCAATAATTTCTCCTTCTGTCTGGCTGCATTCTTGCAGCCATTGAGAAATACTGTGAGAGCTGTGATTGGTCACAGCTTGTCACATGGTACAAGGCTGTTGTGAATAGCCTTGTACCATGTGACCTCTGTGGTCATTCACAGATTTCACTAGTTGTGAGCAATGATGTCAGGAAGTGACACCTTGCTTACTACTATTCATGTGATCACTCAGAGGTCCCGTACAGTGATCGGTGTTCCGCTGTGTCTGGAGGACACAGCGGGCACCGGATCGCGGTGCTGCACGCTCCCAGGGAGCCTGCACAGGCTGTAAATGCAGCGCCGTTTATGAACGGCAACCCGGTCCTGCACTGCTCCCGTCCAGCCGTTTATGTACATGGGCCGGACAGGAAGTGGTTAAGCACTACAACAATTTCTTCTCTCCCCCCCCCTCCCCTGACAGTAGACAGGAATGGGTAGACAGTAATCCCAGTGGGAGAGTCAGGAGCCATCAATATACTGTATAAGACACTAATAAAAGTACTGCTCAATTCTTGCACAGCATGGGGGGAAATTAATAAAGCGTGATGCAGGCTATATGTCTGCACCCCTCTTCTTTAGGGAGTACAGCAGATGCTGCTCCTAGCTAACAAAATCGGCACAAACCTCCTAGTTAGGAGCAATCTAGTCCTTTATCTGTGCAGTGTGTGCCAAAGACTTTTGAGCTCTATAGTGCGAGATACGGCATGCTGGCCATGCCCCTGACGACGACGTCTTTTTTTGATGATAAAATGCGTAGGGTAGAGTCAAGCCGTGTGACATCATCGCGCTCTGAGGACAGCAACCATTTTGTCGGTTTGAAACAACTCATTTGACATGCTATTATTTACTGAAATTTGTGTAAGAGCAATTTTATAAATAAATATTCTGATTTAGTTACTTACTACACTATGAGTCGGCATCTCTTCTGTATATGGTGTTTTGTTACCTGATGGGAGGTTTGCTGCCTAGAGACCTTATGATTTGGAGAAGTGTTTGGCAAGTCACTAGAAGGAGTCCTTATTCAGGAGTTCGTATTACATCATTTGGGCCAGATTGCTGCGCTATTTGACCAGTCCTTTGGGCGGTCACATTTTCTGGTAAGAGGCTTTCATATTGGGTGGAAGGTGAAGGTTTCCCTCTGGATCGGGCTCTCTCTCCCAAGCACCAACTTCTGTCTAAATATGTGGAACGTATATGGACTCTGTTGCCACCTGTGTGTGTGTTGTCTAGCACTGTTTTTATTTTGATTTAAATGAGGCTATTCTATTAAATTTTATTTAGTGTTACTTATGTTGCTGATAGCGCTGCATTTAATTGTTAATATATGTCACAGACTGGCATAGAACAGTATAGCTGGCGCTGCATGCTCCAGATATCTCTGCCCATGGACTGGCCTAGTCAAAGTCCTGATTTGAATCCCATTGAAATGCTGTGGGATATGAAACTGGCAGCTCATGCAAGAAAACCCACAAGCATTTTACAACTGAAGAAATTTTGCAGGGGGGAGCAGTCAGAGATTTCACCAGTGTGATGCAAGAGTCTGCTGGGCAGCTTTGCCAAGTACCTACAAGAAGTAACTTCTGCCAAAAAGGCCTATACCGGCTTCTGAGACCAAGGATGTGCTTACCCTTTCCACAGTATACTTTTACACTTTTGATATTTTTGTTGATAATGAATGATTAAAATGGCAGTTTTTTCCCTGTGGTTTTGTGTAAATGTTTCAACTTTATCTGTTGGTAATGTTTTTGAATAAAAAGTTATTTTTTGCCCACCTAAAAGCTAAGTTCACCTTTTGAAAAAAAAAAAGGAAATGCTAAATTTTTTTGCAGCAGATCATGGGTGCACTACTATGGGATGGATAGGGACAGAGGACTCTACAGTGGGGGTGATGTGAAGGTGGCTGAGGACACTGCTTTGGGGGGAAGGGGGTACAGGACACTATTGTGGGGGGGAGGGGATCAGAGGACACTGCTATGGGGGGAAGAGGACACTACAATGGAAGGGTGATGTGAAGGGGGCAAAGGATACTGCTTTGGGGGGGAAGGGGTTACAGGACACTACTGTGGGGGGGATGGGATCAGAGGACACTGCTATGGGGGCAAGAGGACACTACATTGGAAGGGTGATGTGAAGGGGGCAAAGGACACTGCTTTGGGGGGGGTACAGGACACTACTATAGGATGGAGGTGGGGGGGCAGAGGACACTACAGTGGAAGGGTGATGTGAAGGGAGCCACGGACCCTGCTTTGAGGGGGGGGGGATACAGGACACTACTATGGGATAGAGGGGGGACAGAGGACACTACAGTGGGGGTGATGTGAAGGTAGCTGAGGACACTGATTTGTGGGGAAAGGGGATCAGAGGACACTGCTATGGGGGCAAGAGGACACTACAGTGGGGGTGATGTGAAGGGGGAAAAGGACACTCCTTTGGGGGGAAGGGGGTACAGGACACTACTGTGTGGGGGGGAGGGGGTCAGAGGACACTACTATGGGGGGAAGAGGACACTACAGTGAAAGGGTGATGTGAAGGGGGGAAAAGGACACTGCTTTGGGGGGGGGTACAGGACACTCCTATGGGATGGAGGGGGGGCAGAGGACACTACAGTGCGGGTGATGTGAAGGTAGCTGAGGACACTGCTTGTGTGGGGAAAGGGGATAAAGGACACTACTGTGGGAGGAGCGGGGCAAAGGACACTACAGTGGAGGGGTGATGTGAAGGGGGCAGAGGACACTGGGTTGGGGGGAGGGGGATAAAGGACACTACTGTGGGGGGAGGGGACAGAGGATACTGCTATGGGGGAGGGGAGAGGACACTACTGTGGGGGGGGGGTGATGTTAAGGGGGGGCCTAGGACACTACTATTACACACTACGTGTTCTTCATGCTGTCTTTTTATTAAGAGCTTGATATTTTTTTTTTTAAAAGGCAATGACCAGGATGCCCCCCGTCCCCCACCAGGGATCTTTGATTTACTCCATGTTCTCCATTCAGATCTCCACCTCTAAAAGGTTGCCTACCCCTGTGTTACATATTCCACCCTAAAAATGGCTGGAACATGTAACATATTCCAAAGTTAAACTTATCCTTTAAATTGAAAAGTCAGGAATTTTAATAGGGTTTACTTACATTTTTGCTTGACTGTGTGTGTATGTGTGTATATATACTGTATGCTCCAATTTTCTTTCACAGGCTGAATACATACTGCTAGGGCAACTTGCTTCCAGAACTCTAAACTGGCCTTAATATGTGATCGGTGAGACGTTGACTACAGCTGGCCATAGAAGGACCAAAATTGTGTGGCAGTCCTCATTCGACAGAGCAGAGTGCAGGTTCCAATAAACAGTCAGTTCTGTAAATTACTCCTATTACTAGGGTTAAAATGAACCCCCATACTACAAATTTCCTTTGATGAAAGGGGATGGAAATTCATTATTTTCTGCCAAGTGTTAGGGAGAAATGTCACCTTTAAATCAGTAAAATAAATATGAATTCCTTCACTCCTGTGTTACTGCCTTATTTATTCTAGATGGACGATACAGAAGATATAACACCAAGAGACAACTTGCAATCTCTCCAGATGATGAAATAGAAGATTATGACGTCTCATCTGAGTCTTCAGAGGAAGACCTTGTTACCCCAACCCTTCATCCAGGACTTCACAGGACAGATCTGTCATTCGATCCCTCTACACAAGGCAAAAATTGTCCAAGTCACTCACCTCCCCTGAGCAATCATAAAAGTGCTGATGGGGATGGGACCTTCTCATGTACCGAGTGTGAGAAATATTTTACTGTGAGAGCCAAGCTTATCAAACACCAGAGGACCCACTCAGCAGAAAAACCCTTCTCGTGCTCTGAATGTGGGAAACGTTTCAGGCAGAAATGCCTTCTCCGGAGACATCAAACAAGGCACAACAGTGACAAGCCATTCTCATGCTCCGAATGTGGGAAAAGTTTTGTCCAAAAATCAGATATCGTTCGACATCAAAGAACTCACACGGGAGAGAAGCCATTTTCATGTTCCGAATGCGGAAAGAGTTTTGCTCGGAAACACTACCTTTACACGCACGAAAAAATGCACTCTGGGGAGAAGCCGTACTCATGTTCTGAATGTGGCAAATGCTTTTCCCGGAAATCTTATCTTAACACGCATGAGAAGGTTCACACGGGGGAAAAGCCATTTTCGTGTTCAGAGTGCGGGAAAAGTTTTGCTGACAGATACCGCCTCGTCACGCATCACAGAGTTCACACTGGTGATCGACCCTATACTTGTACAGAGTGCGGGAGAAGCTTTGCCCAGAGCTCAGATCTGATTAGACACAGGAAGGTTCACACTGGTGAACGCCCGTATTCATGTTCTGAGTGCGGAAGAGGTTTCATCAATAAATCGGATCTGATTATCCATGAGAGAATCCACACAGGCGATCAACCGTATTCGTGTTCGGAATGTGGGAAACGATTTTCGCACAAATCTACCCTTAAGTCACATCTAGGAACCCACAGATGATGAGGTCCTTGCATCACAAAGACAAGCTACTTACACGTATTTTCTCTACCTGTCATGGGGCCTGGTTTACAACAACACATTATTTATTAAATTATATCTGCTGAATGTATACACTGAATAAAGTTGATCTTTCTCCCCGTTTAATTTATGTACAAATTCAGGGCGGTGCTGCTTTTACTCCTCTGTGACTGCACATTTTCAAACCAAATCAGTTTAGCCAGTCTGTAGATTACTTTTTTGTCCCAGAAAATGGGTCCCATGTGTACTCCACCCAAATGATTTATATTGTGAGGGTTATCACACTTCTGAAAGATAGCGAAGTTCTGAAATGAGTGTGACGGTCAAGGGCCAGGCTCGGAGACCAGTAGCTAGAGCAGCAGAGAGGCTCCTACCCAGGAGCCTCTACAAGCAGGTCACCTTGGCGGATGACAAGCGCTCAACCGACGTGCGGAGACTAAGCACTAACGGGTGTTCACCAGAGCTCCTGATGGTGGAGATAGGGTTTGCTGCATGTTAGTAACCGGTCAAGTTCCTCAAGATTGCCCTACCAAGAGGTGAACATGCCAGGGTTCAGAAGCAGATATAGCAGGTTGGGATCAAACAGAAGCGTAGTCAGTAAACAAGCCAATGGTCGGTAACAAGTGGTTGCAGGTTGGGATCAAGCAGAAGTGTAGTCGAGGAACTAGCCAAAGGTCGGTAATGAGTGGTAGATACGGAAGGTGGCATACATCTCTTTTGACTTAACCACTTTGTAAACTACCATATTTTTTAAACGTATTACAAATACTGGAGTTTAAAGGAATTGTGTATTGTTGAAGAGGATGTTCACCCCCCCCCCCCAAAAAAGAAAATTCAGCGGCTATACTATAGCTGCTGACTTTTAATAAAAGGGCACTTACCTGTCAAGGAATCGAGTGCTAGCCTTACCCAGCCTGGTTCTTCGATTGTCTTCTGGTTCCGTACACCACGTCTATGGTACAACGTATAAAATTCAAAATTCTAACCACAGCTTACAAAGCCATCCACAACACTGCCCCTAGCTACATCACCAACCTCATCTACAGATACCGCCCAAATTGCCCACTCCGCTCCTCCCATGATATCCTCCTTTCTAGCTACCTCATCACCTCCTCCCACGCTCACCTCCAGGACTTCTCCAGAGCCTCTCCCATCCTCTGGAACTCCCTACCACAGCATGTCTGTCTGGTCAGCCCCCACCCTGTCTGCCATTAAGCGATCTTTGAAAACTCATTTCTTCAGGGAAGCCTACCCCACCTCCACCTAAGAACTGTACTTGAATCACCTCCGCCAGATCATCCCCCGCAGCTATCACCTTTTGTATCACCTCCCCCTTCCTTTAGATTGTAAGCTCCACGAGCCGGGCCCTCCTATTCCTTCTGTACTGAAATGTATTGTAATTGTACTGTCTCCCGTTATATTGTAAAGCGCTGCGCAAACTGTTGGCACTATATAAATCCTGTATAATAATAATGTCTAGTGTGGGAATCCGGCTGCGGCTCCAGAGCCGGCTTCACACTGTGCATGTGCGAGCTGCGCTGTGCTTTGTGAATGGTCCTGCAGCCTTCTGGGTCCTGTGATGTACACCAGAAGGCTGGGGCAAAGCGGGGTGATTCGAGAAGAAGTGACAGCAGATACCTATCAAAACTAGGTACCAGCTCCCATCCCCAAAAAAGAGTGCCCAAAATTTCAACATAAAGTGGGAGGAGGTGGAAAAGTGGAACTTCCCCTTTTGGGTAAAGTTCTGCCTTAATGTTGTCCCGTAAGCTGCATTAAAAAATTTTGCTCCCCCTAAATGATATTTAAAAAAATTGCATTGATATATTTTTAACAAATTGTTGGAAATTGGGTGTAAAAAAAACGGCCAAAAAAATGTAATCCAGGTTTGTAATTCGCTCTCATGTAACATCTTTGTTATTGTACAATTTATTACAGCAAGTCGTAGTAGCAGGGCAGGCGGGTTTTTGCTTGGCCCAGCAGCTAGTTTCTTCGCATTCTCTTAGAGGTGCTATTTGGCACTGAATATCACGTGTTTGGTAATACAGTTATTTCTCACTTTATTTTAGTATTAACCCACTGTATTGGTTGAGCAGGCGGGTGTTTACTGATCGTCTCCTATTTATTATTTTGTATTTTCTGTATTATTTTGTTATCTATGCAACTGATGCTCTGTAAATATTATCATTATTTTGCACCTTATATTAGCTACATAGCTATAGTAGCAGGGCAGGCAGGTTTTTGGGTGGCTTAGTAGTCAGTATTTTCTTATTATTTGTATTTTTTTACACTGATATCTCTGGTTGGTTAATATACACTATATTGCCAAACGTATTGGGCCTACCCTCCAAATCATGTGATTCAGGTGTTCCAATCACCCCCATGGCCACAGGTGTATAAAATCAAGCCCCTAGGCATGCAGACTGCTTCTACAAACATTTGTGAAAGAATGGGTCGCTCTCAGGAGCTCAGTGACTCCAAGCGTGGTCCCGTGATAGGTGGTCACCTGTGCAATAAGTCCATCCGTGACATTTCCTGGCTACTAAATATTCGACGATCAACTGTTAGTGGGATTATAACAAAGTGGAAGCTGTTGGTTATGTGTTATAGAAGACACTGGTAGTGATAGCAGAATTCAGGCTTTACTTGTGTGGCTTAAGTTACAAACATACAGAGCACATTTCTCAGCAGACAGGTTACAGACTCATTACTTCCTGAAGAGATGATAGAGAGAGAGAGGAAGAACCAGCAAGTATTACATATATACAACTAGTAACCTTTAGTGTACAGTGCCATCTACTGGTCAAGTGATATTAACACACAATACTATATATGTAGTACATTATAGTACATGCTGTTGCATTCCCAACAGAAGCAACTGGGAACAACAGCAACTCAGTCACCAAGTGGTAGGCCACGTAAAATGACAGAGCGGGGTCAGCGCATGCTGAAGCGCACAGTGCGCAGAAGTCACCAACTGTCTGCAGAGTCAATAGCTAAAGACCTCCAAACGTGGCGTGGCCTTCAGATGAGCACAACAACAGTGCGTAGAGAGCTTCATGGAATGGGTTTCCATGGCCGAGCAGCTGCATCCAAGCCTTACATCACCAAGTGCAATGCAAAGCGCCAGATTCCGTGGTATAAAGCACGCCGCCACTGGACTCTAGAGCAGTGGAGACGTGTCCTATGGAGACCAATCACGCTTCTCTGTCTGGCAATCTGATGAAAGTGTCTGAGTTTGGCTGTTGCCAGGAGAACGCTACTTGCCTGACTGCAATCTGCCAAGTGTAAAGTTTGGTGGAGGGGGGATTATGATGTGGGGTTGTTTTTCGGGGTTGGGCTTGGCCCCTTAGTTCTAGTGAAGGGAATTCTTAAGATGTCAGCATACCAAGACATTTTGGACAATTTCATGCTCCCAACTTGTGGGAAGAGTTTGGGGATGGCCCCTTCCTGTTCCAACATGACTGCGCACCAGTGCACAAAGCAAGGTCCATAAAGACATGGATGAGTGCGTTTGGGGTGGAGGAACTTGACTGGCCTGCACAGAGTCCTGACCTTTTGGGATGAATTAGAGCGGAGACTGCGAGCCAGGCCTTGTCGTCCAACATCAGTGCCTGACCTGACAAATGTGCTTCTAAAAGAAGGATCAAACCTTCCCATAGACACCCTCCTAAACCTTGTGGATGGCCTTCCTAGAAGAGTTGAAGCTGTTATAGCTGCAGAGGGTGGGCCAACTCAATACTGAACCCTACGGACTAAGACTGGGAGGCCATTAAAGGTCATGTGCGTGGAAAGGCCGGCCGACCAATACTTTTGGCAATATAGTGTATTATGTGTTTGCTTTTTACTATCTATTCAGCAGTGTGACACTATTTATATTACTTTAGTCTCATATCTAAATCAAATCATGTTCATGGGGGGTATTGAATTCTCTTGAGGGCAATTGGATATACACTCACTGGCCACTTTATTAGGTATACCTGTATAATTGCTTGGTAACACAAATTGCTAATCAGCCAATCACATGGCAGCATTTAGGCATACAGATGTGGTGAAGACAAACTGCTGAAGTTCAAACCGAGCATCAGAATGGGGAAGAAAGGGCATTTAAGTGACTTTGATTGTGGCATGGTTGTTGGTGCCAGATGGGCTGGTCTGAGTATTTAAAAAACTGCTGATCTCCTGAGATTTTCACGCACAATCATCTCTAGGGTTACAGAGGATGGATCTGAAAAAGAGAAAATATCCAGTGAGCGGCAGTTGTGTAGACAAAAATGCCTTGTTGATGTCAGAGGTTAAGGTCAGAGGAGAATGGGCAGACTGGTTCAAGATGATAGTCAACAGTAACTCAAATAACCACTCGTTACAACCAAGGTATGCAGAATACCATCTCTGAATGCACAACGCTTTGAACCTTGAAGCAGATGGGCTACAGCAGCAGAAGAGAAGACCACACCAGGTGTCCCTCCTGTCAACTAAGAACAAGACACAGAAGCTACAATTCGCACAGGCTCATCAAAATTGAATAATAGAAGATTGCAAAAACGTTGCCTGGTCTGATGAGTCTGGATCTCAGCTGCAACATTCAGATGGTAGGGTCAGAATCTGTTGTAAACAACATGAAAGCATGGATCCATCCTGCGTTGTATCAACGGTTCAGGCTGATGGTGGTGTGATGGTGTGGGGGATATTTTTTATCACACTTTGGGCCCCTTAGTACCAATTGAGCATCATTTAAACACCACGGCCTACTTGAGTATTGTTGGTGACCATGTCCATCCCTTTATGACTCCAATGTCCCCATCTTCTGATGGCTCCTTCCAGCAGGATAATGCACCATGTCACAAAGCTCAGATCATCTCCAACTGGTTTCGTGAACATGACAATGAGTTTACTGTACTCCAATAGCCTCCACAGTCACCAGATCTCAATCCAATAGAGCACCTTT